TAACCACATTGGACAATAATGAGGTTATAGGCATCTAGGCGACATTCCAGGTATAACCAAAGACAGCAAGGGAACCAACTGAGTTACTGTCTGAAAAACTCTTCAATTTATAGCCTAAAACTACACTTTGGAATTTTTGAGAAAACAAGACATCTGAATAGTGCATTCCCTTGGCCAGTGACAGTGGTGTCCACGTACATCCTGCAGCCTAAGGAGGCCCCTGTCCACTCAGGAGAGGAGGAGGAGGGTAAAAAAGCAGCAGTTCCGTGCTACAGTGTTATTAAAATAGTCTTCACCTGTGGTCTCTCCGGCGGTGTTGTGTTTGAGCCTTTGTTAAATGAAGATAGAGCTGGTGTGGTAGCGCACACCTGTGACCCTAGCACTCTGGGAGGCTGAGGCAGAAGGACTGAAAGTTCAAGACCAGTGAGGACAACTTTAGAGACTTAGCAAAACCCTGTCGATAGAATAGAACAGAACAGAACAATGTAAAAAATGGCTAGAGATGTAGAGATGTAGCTCAGTGCAGAGCTCTTAGATTAAATTGGGGTGGGGGGAGCACAGATAAGCAAATACAATGGCAGGGGACTCTGAATATGTCCCAACCATAAGGTTGATTGCAGAGACGGTCTCCCTTGCCAGAATTTGAGTAAATGAAAATGTAACAACTTCTTCAATTGCTTGATTGTGTGGGAAAACATTATGAGTTGGAGTTGGGAGACTTTCCTCAGCATGACGTCACGGCAGAAGTGAGAAAATAGACAGTTGATAGGTTTGACTGGGAGGCTGAGGCAGGTGGATTGTAAACTCAAGCCCAGCCTGGGCAGTTTGCTAGGTAAGGAGACCCTATCTCTATCACTAAGTGCAAAGCCTCTGGGTTCCATTTTCACTACCCAGAAGGGGGTTGGGGCCTAGCGAGGTGAGCGGAGTGCACAGTGAGTCCCAGCACTCAGGAAGCTGAGGCGGAAGGGTCTCTGGAGCCTCGGAGTTCAAGGCCAGCCTGTCTATCCATGTGTCTTAATAAGTTTTGAAATAAGAAAGTAAGTCATCCAATTGTGTTCTTTTTCAAGATGGCTTTGGCCTTTTGGTACCCCTTGCAATTCCACATGGGTTCAAGGACTGGCTTTTCCATTTTTGCCAGATTTCGTTGGGATTGTACGATGAATCTGTACATTGCTTTGGGCAGTATTAGGGTTCTAACAGCATTATGGAGTGGTTTCCTTTTTAGGTTGTTTGTTGTTAGTGTTTTAAAATACAAGGTCTAGTTCGATCC